ACATAGGATGAAGACTAAACTGTAGATTTGTACCTAAAATAAAAGAAACTAAAGTAAGAAGTGATTTTAAACTATTAGAAAAAGTTATACACCTATATAGTATAAATGCAATTTCTCATGGAATTATCCTCCTGGAACAGAGCACACTCTGAAAAACCCTGTCCCAGCCAACGGAAAAGAACAGAAATCAACAACGCAGCATAGTTAAAAGGAGGCTTTTTCTCTTTAAATTGGAAGGAGTTGAGCATAATTTCACAGCCTCAGAGGGAGCTGCTAAGAGAGCCACAAACACAGAGCTCAGTGCCTGCGCCTACTTGCCTCATTCCATGCTACTCTCCTAGGGAAGCCGAGATCCTTTGGTTGCCCTGTTCTCCCTGAAGAATGGCTGTGAAAGATGAGTGTCAAATTACAGTCATTTAAGTTTAACCATTTTCTGTTAGCAGAGAATAATTCACATTCATCTATGGAGTGGAGTGAGGTTAACGATTCAGTTACATTTTGATTATGAAGGAATCTCACTCAGCTGAAATCTGCGATAAAACCGAGTCCATATGTATTGTTTCTGCAGTGTTGTGAGTGCTCCTGGTTCCTAAGGAATGCATTGTTTAAGCCAGCCCTTTGCTCACCATGTAAATGATTCCACTTCAGTGGTTCAAGGAAAATGAGCACAGGATGCAAATTCCTTAATGCAGATTTAGTAAAGTAGAATCTCCCCTCTGTGGTCTTGACTGTGACGAGTTTCCTTTGTACGTGTCGGAATTATTTGTCAAGACCTTTTGTTGATCACGAAATGCCCTTGCCTGTCCAAAAAGCCTAACAAAAAAGACTCAAATCCATAGTGAGCAGTTCTCTTTCTGACAGTATTGGTTTTTATTAGATACATGGCTGCAATCTTCAGCTGCAATTAAAAAAAAAAAAAAAAAGACAACTTTGGACGTGTGGCAAAGTTTGGAAAGTGTGAGGGGCCAGAGAAAATCATTGGAACATGTCACTTGCTTCACAACTTTCGGTTCTCACCTTCAGTTTACAGGGCTCCATGTCCTCAGAGGGAAGTATTCTATGTGGACTCATTTCAAAGAGTTTTCTCTGAAAATGAATATGCCAGCTCCCCATGGGGTCATGAAGAGAGACTGAATAGGCCGTGCCTTCACCTGCGTAGTTGCTGAAAACAACAACAAAACCTTTCTGATGTAAACAGCAGCAATTAGTACAATAACTGCCCCGAAGATGCCACCATTCTCTAAATCGGATATTCTGAAAGCTCAAGAACAATTTTGTAACATAAATAACCTGTTCATCCAGAGAGCAACTACAGATACATTTTTTCCAAGGAAAAAATCTGTGAGTGAGGGAGACAGAACGTGCCCAGAGTATATTCCTCTGCTTTTTCCTCCTGGAAAATAGAGAAGCCCTTTGGTGGAACTACAAACACAAACCCAGAGAAAAACAGTAACTATTATGCTATTATTCCCTTGGGGCAACATATCCAGATATTAGTTGAGATTTCTGAATCTTTATTCAAATTAATTCTCAGTGTTGGACTTTCTAGTGTTGTGAGAAATTAATGGGGAAGATGATTTGTGGGAAGGAACAGAGGATAAAACTTAAAAGAGTCAAGGTTTTGCCATCAGAGCGATTTGAGGCTGTAATCCCACAAAGACAAATGACAATCTTGAGCTAATTCTTTCTATTCTATGAGAATTATGTTCCTTGTCTATGAAATGAGGATTGACAAAATTTTCTCCAAGGTCTATTTAAATTTGAATATGGCGTCTAAGGACTCTTTCTTTAGAAAAGCGTAAAAGAGCACTGTAATCACACATAATGACATTTCCTTTTCTACTTTTGGTGTGAGATTGAGGCAGCATTTTGGTTAAGAGATCAGATCCGAGTCAGGAATATCTGTTTTTGAATATTGATACTTCCACCTACCAGCCACATGATCCTGGGAAAGCTGGCTAACAGATCTTAGTCTCAGTTTCCCCACTTGAAAAATGGAGAGAAAAATAATTTATCATAGGAGTGGGGGGGTTGTGAGGATTCAATGTGTTAATACAGGTGATGACCTGAAAAGTACCACGAACATGTAAATGTTCATACAGAACATTCCGTAAATTTTTTAAAAATTACATTTTACTCTTAGAAGTGCATTTACTTTTAAGGAGACAACAGATATCGGCCTAGCCATTTTTACCTTCAGTTCCCTGCATAGATCCACAAGAATTTATTTTATTCCATGAACTTTTTTCTCACTGAGATTGCTTGAGATCTTTGGTTTTGTCACCTTCACATTGAAATAACAACGGAGGATACTATTGATTTCACTCATTTTGGTGAAGCCCGAGAGATCTTTGCTTTTATCAGGCATCCATTTTAAAAATAACTATTATTCAGCATGCTTTTTAATCTTTTCAGTTTTCCAAGATTCTTCATATGTTGCCTGTCTTTTTTTTTAATTGAGAAGACGCACCAAGGAAAGTAGTACAAAAGTGTTGGTGATAAGGTGAGGGAAAAGAATGACAAATAAGTGAGGAAGATGTCTGTCTAGTGTATCTCTGAGTAAGAAGGAGAAAATTGGAAGAACTATAGACAGAAAGAAGGAAACAGATTGAGAAACTAATTTAAGCAGAATCAACTAAAGGGAAGTAAAAGATTTGAAAAAATAAGAGTGGGCACCAAATAGAGAAAATCTGGTGTAAAGAAAGATAAGAAAAAATTTATAGCAATTCATATATGTGACAAATTCAAACCACACTTGGATAAAAATGCCAAAAGAAACACCAAAGATGGATCTAATGAAAGGTTTTCATCGTCTACATAAAATGGAGATTCTTTCCCCTAACTTTTATTTATTTATTGTTTTTGGCTGAAGTACATTTACTCTCAAATTTCTACAACTTATTGCCCTCTTGTACCATTTTCTCATTTCTTTTACAATTACTATTAAGGCTAAATAAGTCATTGGAATATAAATACACATTTTGTTCTCAAGTACTTTTCCCTGCTCTATCCCAGGAAGGTAGTTAGACCATCATTCAAATCATTTACAGAAATTATCAACAGTGTACACTAAGAAAATGAGCTTAGGCTTCTGTGTTTATCAGTATGACATTACAGATACTCCAGATATCATATCTATTAAAAATAAATAAAATTTATGAAAAATAAATATTAATCAATGTAAATTCCTCCCTGATCTGGTAAGAAACTAAGAAATAGGGTCTTTCATCATCTATAAAGCTGGGGAGAGCCTGGTGGGCTGAGGACATCAGAATGAAGAGGAATTTTTCACTCAAATGGCTAACCTTATAATCAGCTCTTTGTTCTGCTTCTGTAGATATGCTTGTCGCATAGGTGGAAGGGCAGGGTGATCTCGAAATTAACTAAAGACTCATCCTCCCTTTTGCTTGTTTTGTCTAGATAACAGATGTATTGTCTGAGTTCCTGTCTGAAAATCTCAGGCTTTGTAACTCTTTGTAACTGCCTGTAACCTATAGCAACTCTCACGCTTTGTAACTCTTTGTAACTGTCTGAGGACAAATTAACCAATCGACCCATGCCAACTGGCTAAATGTAACTGCACGGATAAGCCCTATAAAAGCAAAGTTGCATCTGAGCTTGGGGTCTGGATCTTCAGAGTGCTAGCTGTTCTAGGACACCTGGTGTAATAAACTTGAGTTCTCCAACTCTCTGAGTGGTGCTTGGCTTCTTGCCAGTATGATTTTACAACATTTATGCAACATTTCTGGAAGCCCTAGTGAGATTTCAACCACACCGGCCCTTTGAACCACCAGACTGGTGGCTTGGCCAGGCCGGGGAGAAGGGGCTCCAAGTCCAAAGAGGAGGCACGTCACCTGATGGTATTCCAGATTCTCTTTCAGACCCGCACTCTGACTCTTCGATGGCTGAGACCCGACTGGACTCAAAGGAGGGATGGACCAACTCACCAGGAATGGACACAGGATAAAGTAAGGCCCCGGGGCTCCATACCTTAGTCAGGTCCTGTTTTTGGACGGAAGAGGAGCTTGATCACCTCCTAAAGTCTTCAGTTAGAAGACACAGGTCAGAGTCTTCCAACAGAGGAAGACATTAGGGTTTTCCCGGGCGAGAAGACAAAGGTCAGGGCCTTCCAAAAAGCGGGGAGGCGATGTTTTAACTTGCTGTATAAATGAGTGAGTGAATGAGCGGCCTAGCCAGCCTGACTCAGTCAGGTACGAATTTGTGGCTCCATGGTTGGGTACCCATAATGTCCCCTAAAGGTCATGGAGTTCGAGTTGGCTCATCTGCAATTTTGTGATGTACGGCATACGGTCTATGGCAGCATTGAACTAGTGTCCGAACGTAAGTCACAAAACTGAGTCCACTACGGCCAAGCGTCACCTAAGCTCCTTTGGGACGTGGCCAGAGGAGCACTTGAATGGTTTCCTCTCTGGAGGAGGCACCCACCCTTGTTTTTGCGTCACCAACACAGGGTGGGATACACAGGATGAGGGGTGTGGCAATTAACCACTGATTTGGCTTAAGAATTGTCTATCTCTAAACAGCCCTTTTGACATAAGGGCCCTCTATCAAATTATTTTCTTGAGATTTTAAGGACTATTTTCCCCCTCCATTAGGAAGCTCCCTAATGCTATATGGGTAGAGGTTCCTCTAAGTCAACTGTCTTAAATTGTATGTTAAAAAATTTTAAGAAGGGTTTCCCAGGGGATTACAGGGTCAAGTTGACCCCAGGAAAACTTCGTACTCTTTGTCGGCTTGAGTGGGCTGCCTTCGGAGTAGGATGGCCTTCAGAAGGAACCCTGGACCTCCCCACTATTAGAGCTATTTACCGTAGTGACAGAGACCCCTGGACATCCAGACTAGTTTCCATACATAACTCATGGTTGCAAACCGTTGAGTTGGAATACTCAGGTTTATTACGCTGGTGGTCCCAGAAGAGCCAGCGCTCTGAAGATTTGGGCCCCGAGCCCAGATGAAACTATATCTCTTTGTCCTCCCAGCCCTTCAACGCTTCCCAGAAACCCTTAAATCAAATGGCTTGATATCCCCAACAACAACAACAACAACAAAAGTCAGGGGACAAAAATGAAGTGAGAGGTGGAATTCATAGAGATAAGTAAGTACTCACTACCTGGCTTTTGCCTGCAGGCAACTGCTGACTCCCGGTGACCCTGAGCTTCCACTTTGGTTCTATCATAGGAACAGTGGGCCAAAGACTAATCCTAGTTCCTACAAGACAGGAATTGAAGAGAAGACACTACATGAAGCCGGGCTCCAGAGGGCTGTGTCTTCAGTGCAAGGGTGAGCTGGACATAAAGGCACATTACAGAGATCTGCCTATCTTGATGTACAGAAAGAACAACAAAGAAATCCATCTTGATGATGTGAACAAAAGAACTGACACTCGGAAAGGTTTATAGCACAAGTGCTAAAGGCGATATCACTAATGACCTGTTATTATTAGCTGTTACTTATTAAAAATCCATTATCTTGCCAAAATAAAGGGACCTATGTCAAGACTGCAGAGAAGGCAGGAATATGTTTCTTTTATTGGAATTGAAAGAGACTAAATTCAGCAGCAGGATAGTGACTGCCTGCATTGTGTGGTTAAAGCCAGAAGACACAGGCAGGAAATATGCATTTTTGGAGGCAACAAAACTAATTTAATTAATAGCCTCACAAAGACAGAGACTATAGGTTCTTACTCAAGGACCAACAGAAGCAAGGCTCACTGAAAAGGCAGCAATTCAATTTTGGGAGAAAAAAAGTCCTTTCATGCTTTCCCCATGGGATGCATATCGCCTGAGCACCATAAGGTCTTCATTTTCTCCTATGCTAACTTCCCCAAATCTGATACTTAATGCAAAAAACAAAACACGAAAACCAAACAAACAAAAAACAAAAACAAAAACAAAAAATGGCCTGTAGATAATCATACATTTAAGAGCGTCTCCAGAGTATCTGTCTTTTATTGTTTTATGAACCAGTGATTTTTTTCACAAGCATTTTCTCATATCTAACAGACCAACAACTTGAACATTTGTATGTTAGAAGTTAAGGAATCTTCTCAACTTCATTATAATATTGTTTTGTTCTTCTCCTGCATTGCTTCATTACTTTAAAAAGGCTGATTTTTCATTCGTTTTCTTACCATTATAAGTGTCTCATATAGCTTTCATTTCTGAAAGCTATAAAAAATTTATTCAATTCATAATGAAAGAACTGGTTGTGAATTACATTACCAGAGCTACTCTTCATATGTCTGTCCATTAAAATAAAACAGAATACTTGAGAAACTCGCATTAAATCATAAAAGGAATTTTTAAAGCTACCATTTTGAAGGATTGACTTTCATTATTGTGTCATTCGATATGCCTAAGCGATACGTAAATTCTAAGTCCTGAATAAATAACCTATTAAAAAATCATGGCAAATGGTTTTAAAATAGAAAGAGTAGTCATTAAATGAAATCCAAAACAAAATGAATGCATGATGAGTTTAAATTTAAAAATTTAAAAACACCAAACGAAACATCTCATGCTTTCTTTTATAAAATAAGCAGAAAAACTTCTCTAATGTCTCTACACATCATGTCACAAATCATAGCAAGTATTATTATTGCAGATACGAAGTGTCAGTAGAAGGACCATTCTAATGTATAACAAACTTTGACTTACAAATTATTTGCAGGAAAAATGACAAGTTATTTTAACAAATTACAAATTATTTTGGTTCTAAATGGAATTTTCGATATGGAACTTGGTTTAGTGAAGCAGCCCAAATGAACTAACAGTATAAACTCCAAATTTTTACCTGAGAAGGGTTTATGGGTTAAAAATATGGTTGGAAGGGGTTCTTGAAGCTGAGCTTACAGAGCACTCTGAACCTCTTTAAGAATTTGTCACTTGTCCACATGGATAAAATGGATAGTGGAAAGGTGGGGGTGAAGGGTGAGGGTACCTGGGGTCAGAAGAATAGAGGTGATGTGGAAGGAAATTGAAAACAAAGAAGTAAAATAAAGCAATCATGGTCTCCACACATTTCAATTTTAGTCCCACACAAACTATGTTGAGATATACTTTCAGATTTAATCATTCAGGAGAAACTGGTACAGCTAACAAGGGTTTTTATGCAAATTAAATTTTTTATTAAATTTCTACATAATTACTACCTCTCACCTACAGGGAGTAAATCCTCAGAGATCATTTGGAAGAACTGTCCTAGATTTGAATTCTGTTTCTCAACTTATTAGTTGGGCAGTTTTGAGCAACTTACTTCACTTCTCTCAGATATTGTCTCATTTTAAGGTAGAGATATTAATAATTAGGCCCTAGAATGGTGCTTGGTACATGATAGGTACTCAATAAATATGGATGAATGGATGATTGAAATAATGCTTATCTTATGTGAATTACAAAAAGACCTAAATAAGAATGTATGCAAAATGTCCGACAACTAGTAGGGCTACAATAAAGATGGACTTTTTCTCATTCCACGCCTCCCACTACCCACCACAGCAACCTCTCTCCTATTCTTTAATAGATGAAAGTAAAAGAAGAAAATTGTTTAAGGCACATCTCTACTTATTTCAGTTCTCAGAGAACAGACAATTGAGGGAGGTAAGAGGAGAAGAGATAGTGAAAGATATCAGGAGATTCCTTCCCTTTCCCTCCTAAGTATCTTCCCACATGGAAGTAGCAAGCACAGCCTCAGGTAGAGCTGCTGTCAGAAGCTTCCTCGGAGCCCGTCGTCCTGCCCCTATCTCTAGCAATCTCTCTTGGCCAACGCTGACCAGAGGTTTGGATCCAGGCTCCAGCCACACCATGGCACACTCAGGCCTGTGCAGTGACCAGTGGTGAGGCTGTGACTTTGTTGATAGGGTTTGAAAACAAGTTAGCAGTGTTCAACTCCTAGCTTTAGGCTTCCTTTCTCTAGCCATTCTCAAGTGTGGTAACCCAAAAGACCTCCAAGACCCAAAAAATACATTCACAGATGACTTAAGCCTTACCACACAACTTAAAATCACAGGAATATCCCTGGCATTATTAGAGGTAGAGTCAGCAGGGAATGAACAGCTGCACCCTGGCATGAATCCATAAGCTCCACGTATACACTGAGCTTGCTAAAGTCCTTGGAAAACTTGGTTTGAAACACATGTGCCAGGGTATTTGACATTGTCATCAACTTTGTCTTTTTTTTTTTACTGCAGCAGAACTGTGCAAACCAAGAATAATAAATATTTTAACTTATTGGTAAAATAGTCTCCTTGACATTAAAAAGGAGTAAACTCAAGTAAGAAGAACCATAAAACCATTATTAAAAATGTTGTCACCTAAAGACAACACAGAGCAGAAAATGACAAGGCATGTTCTCTTTCATTGCATGGAAATTGATAACAAAACGCAGTCTAAATCTTCTCTCCGCCCTTATTAAATTCACCTATGGAAGTTAGATTTTAATGCTAGTTCTTCACTTTGTGTCAGAATGCAAAAAGAAACAGCACTAAGCTTCTTTTGTCTTTGTAACAACAATGAGCAGTATATGCTATCATATCAGCTGCAACCATATTCTAAGAATACACCAAAACAATACAACTAGAAGAAAACACTTTATTGGAATGGGGAGGGAACAAGGTCTGTAGAGAGAGAACTAACTCTCTCAATATTTGAAGTAACTTTTCAGCAATAAATTAATAGTATGAGACTGTAGAAATGAAAACAAAACAAAACAAAGAACGTGTCTTCCTAAATTTGAATCCCCTTTTCTTAACTTTTTTTGTCAGTGTTTTCTTCCTTTTCCATCATGTGTATAAGTGGTTAACTGTGTCTAATCGCAGAAAAACTTGGAACGGGGTAAGATGCTAACATCCTCATTTTCACGTAGTGTAGGTCTGCTGATATGTAAAATATGTACTCCCTAAGTTTGTCTTTCTACTAGTATTTTAGCAATGAAAAACTTTCACATTGGATAAGCTTCAGTTTTAATTATAAATGTGTGGCATTGGAAAATTTTTTATGTTTTAGCACAATGTCACCCTTAAAAATAAAAGTTATTTTACCAACAAAAACATGTTTATTCATGAATAGTAAAGAATTGCAATTTTGGAGGTGTGAGCTACGGCAAAACCATAGACAAGTAATGGCGGTAGTAATGATCAAATAGTAGTCAAATAATTATAGCAAAAACAATAATTAACATTTATTAGCACCTAATATATGCCAGATATTGTGCTAGTTTACAACTTTTATGCAGTACTCACAACAAGCTTCTCAGTTACATGTCTTCTGTTTTGCAAATTAGGAAAATCAATTTTAATGAGGCTAAGTAATCTGTCCAAGATTATATGACCATTAAGTAGCAGAGACTTTAAAACAATCTGTGAGGCACAAACCATATACATCCCCACAATTCAGTCCCTCCAGGGGACAATCCAAATGGAAATCTAGGTAATCTTGGAGCAAAGGAGGCTACTAGACAGAGCTGCACCAGGCACAGGACTCCGGCTTCCTGATATTATCTTTAATACTAAAGTAAATGAATATAGAAAGACTGCCAATTGCACGCACATGTTGAGGCATACACACAATGTATGCACAGCTTCATACACTTACACACAGGTACACATATGTACACAGACATACACTAACTCAGGTGCTTCACACCTGGATTTTCAAGGTGGGAAAAAACCTTTCATGTCTATACATATAAGCAGAATCTTAGCTTCAGATTCTCTCAGGATCTTAGTTTTTTAAAATTTCCCTTTATAATTCTAAACATCTGGCCTAGGAACACCTCCTCCCAGCCTGGTATTTATGACCTATGTGAATAATTTGAGTTGCTAAGTGGAAACTTCTGGTTTCAAATGACAGTGCAGCTCATCTGATACTTTCGAATGATGAAGAGTGTGAACTCTTTTGCCTCGGTTGGCTAGGTGTGGGGCCGGCCTCACGCAGTAGATGGGGGTCTGATAGAAACTAATTTCTCTCAGGTAGAATCACTCTAAAACAAAATGACTTTATCAGTTTTCCAAAGTACAGATAAATGAGAATAAATCATTTAAAGAATTATATTTCAAGGAAGGAGCTGTGTGAAAGGTCAGAAGTAGAAGAATAGAAAGAAAAGGTAAAATATTGAAAGAAGCTAAATTAACCTACCTGAATATCTTACTGGAACCATCCTTTTCAAATCCCACCTTATCAACTAAAATAATAATCAGAGACTGCAGAAAAATAGAAAGGAGCTAACGAACACTTCATTAGAGTTACATCTAAATTGATAGTTTGAGAGTGATGATTTTAAAAGTTAGTGAAATATCATGGAAAAAACCCTGTTTTTGTACTAATTTGTTAGTTAATGAGTTGTAAAGATTTATAATCCAACACACGATGCAAAAAGCCCTATCTGTGTTGTATGTGTAAAAATTAATAGAAACCTCATTTAAAGTGAAGTAGATGGGCCAGAAGGGGGAGCTCTCACACCCTATGTAGATAGCAAAGCACAACAGGAGAAATCGCAGTACAGCCCTTCCC